CAGAGGAGGCAGGAGAGAGCAGAATTTAATTAGTTGTTTATTTTACATTCAACTAATTTTAAGTAAAAAATAGTTCACCCAGAGTGGACTTTGTGGGTCTGGGTTTCTCAACCCTGGCTGTGCATCAGTATCACTTACAGGAGGTTGCAAAACCTATGGCCCAGAGATTCTTATCAAGCAGGTGTAGGCTGGGGCCTGGGCATCTGTGGGTTTAAAAACCCGCCCTGTGACTTTGAGGGCAACCGTGATGAAAAGTCAGGGTATGTGGGGCAGGAGGAGAAATCTGCCATCCTTAGGAGGCTAAGGGCCCCCTTGAAGCCAGCCTGTGGCCCTAATGGCTCCAAAGGGTTTCTCAGGGTTGAGAGATTGTGGCCCACTTGGTGCCCCCTAGCCAGGAAGGGGAGTTGGAAAGTAGCATGTGCCAGGCCAAGAGATTCACCAGACCCTCAGACCCCTATCGCCACATCTGGGCAACCTCTGAATTCTCTCATCCTGAGGAACAATGAGGTGGGGGCAGGACAGTCAGGGAAACCTGCAGGGCCACTACAACTGAGCCCATCCATCCTCCACCTCCTCAGCTGCAGGGGAAAGGGCCCTTCATTCCCGAGACTACCAGATTCTGCAGCAGCGGCCACCTCCCCTGACCTGGCCAGCCCTTCGATGCCACACCCATAGCTTGGGGGGGCGGAGTTGGGGAAGGAGGGGGGCTAGTGAATGACTAAGGCCGGAAATAGAGGTGAGTCACTGAGGGCCTGCTTTATCCAGAATCTTCTACAAACAGGACATGGAGACAGGAAGCCTGAACTCTTGACCCACCTCCCACTGGGACAGGTTCCCACGATGAGGGGGCCCCAGCTCCCTATGAACCTGTTGTGGGAAGGGGTGACATTCTAGTCTGCCCACCCAACTGGCACTGGCCCCTGGGTCACACTGTCCCTTGGTTCACACTATCCCCCCAACCATACCCCCAGTGGAAAAGCCAAACAGAATGAGGGTGCAAGGCTAGACTGGGCCAGGGCTGAGTCCCTGGGTCGGTGCCTCTATTTCCCCATTGAGCTTCTGACCCTGGGGTAGTGAGGGGTTTGGGGGGTCAGACAGGAGGGGCAGGACAGACAGAAGTGAGGGAGTGAGGTCAGGAGGAGTGCCTAGGCCCTGGGCAGAGATGCTGGGAGGAGCCTGGCTCTCTGACCAGCTACCCAGTAAACATTTATAGGTCCTGCCAAGCCCAAACCCATGGATGTTTTCTCCATCACATTACTGCTTGCTCGGAGCAGCTACACAAGCTGCCTGCCCTTGGCAATTTCTGTGAGTTCTCTATCTATCCATCTCTGCCTGGAAGCTGAGCTGGGCAGAGTGATGGCTACCTCGACTGAAATAATAATCATGAAATAATAGCAATAAAAATGAGGACAACAATAGCCGAAAGGTGGAAACGACCCAGGTGTCTGTTGACAGATGAACAGATAAGCAAAATGGGGTGTTATTCATACAGTGGAATATTATTCAGCCAAAAAAGGAGCGAAATCTGATCTGTGCTCCAACATGGATGAACCTTGAAACCATGCTAGGTGACATATGCCAGACCCAAAATGAAAAACATTGTATGATTCCATTTATATGAGGTACCTAAAATAGTTCAATTCATAGACAGAGTATATGTCACTTCAATTAAAAAAAAAAAAATCAGAGACAGAAAGTAGATTAGAGGACCAGGGGCTGAGGGATGGGAGGAAGAGGGAATTACTGCTTAATATTACAGCGTTTCTGTTCAGGGTGATGGGAATGTTTTTAGAAAGTCCAACATTGTGAATGTAAATAATGCCACCAAATTAGCCACTTAAAAAAGGTTAAAATGGTCTATTTGATGTTATGTATATTTTAACACAATTTTTTAAAAGTAATAATGTAGTAAGCCAGAAACCACTGCACACTAAATGGGTGAATCGTGTGGTATGCAAATTCTTAATGAAGATGTTAAGGAGCCCTGGCAGGTGTGGTTGCCGGTTCCATTCCAGGTCAGGGCACATGCCCGGGTTTCGGGCTTGATGTTTCTCTCTTGTCTCTCTCTCCTTCTCCCTTCCCCTCTCTAAAATCAATAAAAACATATTTTTAAAAAATATATGTTCAAGAGGCACAGAGTGGCTAACTTGTCCAGGGTTGTGGAGTAAGTGGTGGGGCTGAATGCATGAGAGTTGGGGAGGCCTAACTCCAGAACTGTGTGTGGCTCCAATGAGCTAAAGTACATAAAGTGCTCTGTATAGGGCCTGGCCCACAGCAGGCACTCAGTAAATAATAACAAAGAAGGAAACTGAGGCAGTGCCCCAGGAGGGATGAGGGACCCAAGTGTCTCCTCAGTCCCAAGGCCTCCAGTTGGGCCCTTTTCCTTCCCAGTTCTGTAATGTCAGCTGGGGCTCAGACAACTTCCCTGAGCCGACTGGTTATCTCAGCTCCCAGAGAGGGGCCAGGAGGTGGTAAGGAACTGGCAGGCCCACTACCACCTTCAAACCGGGCGGTTTCGCCCGGTCGGGCGTGGCTCAGCAGCGGTTGAGCATTGACCTGGGATCCAGGCGATCAGGGTTTGATTCCTGTTCAGGGCACATGCCCGGGTTGCAGGCTTGATCAGTGACTCTCTCATCATTGATGTTTCTATCTCTCTCTCCCTCTCCTTTCCTCTCTCTGAAATCAGTAAAGATATATTTTAAAAAATAAAAAAATAAAAAAATAAACAAACTGGGCGGTTTGGGTTGTGTGGGGTCTGAGGCCTGAGCAATTCTGTCTCGATGGCCAAAGCCGGGGCAGGGAACTGCCTCAATGGCAGAGTAGGAAGGGTTCATGGGAAAGGACAAGTCCATCACTGATGACCCCCAAATCCCACCCTTTTTATGGATGGTCCACTGAAGCTCAGAGAAGGCAAGCTGTGGAGGCTGAAAACAGTGTGGGCCACCCAAGGAAGGGAGGGACTCAGGGGCTGCGTAGGGGACAGGCAGGGGCCAGAGCAGGCTGGCAGTGGAAGTATGGGGGAGCTGCTGTGTGTTCATAGGGCGTGTAGACAGAAAGGTAAGATGCAGAGAGCAGGGTGTGAAAGGAGTGATAGGTCTCCAGTGAAGTGGGTAATAGGGTGGTGTGTACATACAGGGTGTGTGCACTACTGTGTGTGTGTATGGGGCTGGTGGGAGGAAAGAAGGTAGGTCACCTTGGGGAGGAAAATAGGCAGTGTGTGTGTGAGTGTGTGCGCGCCAGTGCACACTCAAGAAGGGCACATGGGGCTCCAGCAGGAATGTGAGACATGCAGGGAACAGTGATAGCTGACAGCTTCATGCCAATGGGGGAGGGGGAGGAAGAGCAGCTTTTCCTGGTGGCTGGGGTCATGAGACTCTGGGAGGGGACACACAACTGGTGAGGGTTCCCAAACACCTTCCTACCCGAATCCTCTAGCCAGCAGGCAGCCCCAGCACCTCAGGGACGAAGCATGGCCCCCTTGGCCCTGCTGGCTGCCACACCCAGGGCTAGAGCCCAGCAGAGCTCAGAGCCAGAGTCCATAACATTCCTTGGAGAATCAACAAAGTCAGGAAAGGCATATAATGCTCCCCTGTCCCTGGGCGGGACACAGTGAGATGAAGGTGGCAGCACCCATCCTGGCAGGGCCAGAACAGGCATGAAGCCTGTGTAAGCGCTCCCCAGAGTTGAAGAAGAGGCCGGGAAGGGGGCACAAGGCATGACAAAT